TGAACTTGTTACGCAGACATAGGGTCTGCAAAGCACACTTGCCTAACTGACATGTTTGGATTTTGAATGTTGGAGAGTGTTTTGGGTTTGCTAGTTGTTTTTTACTTACACCTAACATGTTCATGTGTTTGCTTTTAAATTGGTGCTAGGCTCAGCGCCAAGCACACAGAATATCCAAGTATATCTCAACTTACAGACCTCTGGTACACTTGAAATGTAAGCTGGCGTCACAGAACTTCAGTTTGTCTTGGGGAAGCACTTGCCTTGATGGCCTCCTTTTCGGTGAGTTCATTGTGCCCTTGTCAAACACAGCTCTACACTTAAATCCCTGAAGTTCACACGTAGGCCAGGAGCTTAGTTCTTCATCTCATGTCCCAGATATATAGTCCAAAACACAAGTATTCAGATCCGAGCTGATGCTCATTCAGCTGGCACAAGCGTACTGCATGCCAGGAAAATATACCCCTCAAAGATCTTTGGTACTCAGCAAGGCAAAGGAAGAACTGCAAGCAAATGCTCTTTCATTTCTAATAGGCTGAGGTCCAAGATCTTATCAGGAACATTCAGGAAAAAGTGAACTACACAAGTGGCAATTTTTTCTCAGTGCTTTGGTGCCAACTGTGAGAGCTCACGTGATGCTACAGATGTTCCAGTGTGGTCATTTACTCATGACACGTTAATGATTGCTCTTATTTAAACAAGAGTTAGCTCAATGAGGTAGTGCATAGAATTTCACATGACTGAGCAAACTGTTGAGATGAATTTTGCTTACATGGATGTGAGGAAAGTTTCATGAGCTTTTGGAGGTGCAAAAAGTGAAATATCCTCTTCACTTGTGTTAGTATGGTCAACTGGGAGGTGCTCGTACCAAAGGGATGATCTGAAAGAGTGGGGTACAGGCTGTGCCTGGCACAAGTATGAAGATATTGGGTGAATTTTTGTTATAGTCCAGCTGCAAGGAGGACTGCCTAGAATATAATATTGTGTGGGTTGTTTAAAGTACAGAGATAGCATTGCAACAAATAAAACTTGCCCTGCTTTGAAGGAAATTGATATTGAATGTTTTCCCTCTTTGCAAGCTTCAGTCAGCAAAACTTAAAACCTTGCTTCAGCTCACTGAGAGATAAGCTGGACACTTTATTATTTTGCCAACTTTTTAGGTGAGGGTTGGTTCTCTTAAATCATCAGTATTTTAACAATAAGCTGGACAATGGCACATTTCAATATTAATATTAATTTTTAGGAGATGCAGATCAAATTGACTTCCGAGATTGCATTCAAAATCACGGGAGCAACCCCTGCCCAGTACGTGGCTGAAAGGGACCAAAATGTAATATAGGTCTGTTCCATGACCTGGACATCGTCATTGTGTGACCAGGCATATTTGTAAATCAGTGATGCCAACATGTTCATGAGATAGTGCAGTGAAGGGATGTGGTCCATCAGACGAGCTGGCCTCAGAAGCAGTGCTTCCAGAAAAATGCGTGTCTGCCGTCATGCTGCTTTTTCACGTAAAATGTATGACTAAGGAAAAAAAAGCAGTTGAAAGGTCAGACTGGGGCTGAATGAATTTTTCCTGTTGTCTGTATTTGTGTTAATGACTATAGAATGAACAGCCTCTGAATTTTAATAATGGTATTATGAACCTCTTTGGATATAATCTTATTGCTGTTATCTTTCAGGAGGATGTCAGTTTTTCTTGTCTTGTCTAATGTTTTTTGGCTTTATCAATTCAAGAAGTATAGACCAGTAACAGTAGGCTTATGAAGGCCTTTCCTGCAGAGCTTCTTCACAGACATGGGGTGAATTATCAGGCTTTTAATTTTTTAGGATAGATCTGATGCAAACCATAGAAAAACTAAACAATAGAGGTAGTTGCTGTGGCTGGCTGGCTTTCTTTAGGGTGAATGAAATGAGAGGCACCCATGGGATTTCAGTCACCTCCAAGGTGCTCAGGGACAAGCATCTCTTGTGAAGCATTCGCATGGCATGTCTTCTGGAGAGTAGGGAATGGAAAAGCTCGTTGCAGAGCTGACATACACAGAACAGGGAAAATAATTTCCCTATTCATTACCCACGCAGTACCCCCCAACTGTCCCAGCTTGCATTGTTATGCTAAGGAGAAAGAAAAGTTCACAGTTGAAGATAAAATGGTGCTTTTATTTAAACAATCACATTGCTTATGTAACAGCTCTCTTAATGGTGAAGTACAGCTGAGGCCTGGAACATGTTGTTTACAGAAATGCCACGTAACAGTGTAAAATGTAGTAAATGGCGCAGAGGGCAATGAGGATGGAGAGGGACCGGAGCTTGGGAAGAGCAAATGCATGTTTGCAAGGATGTGAGTGTGCTGTGTCCTGAACACAGGAGGTTTGAACCAGGCTTAGCAAGGGGAACGGTCTTTGTAAAGGTCATCAGAGAACTGGCCTAACAAACTATCAAAGGGCAAATGGTGCTTGTCAGAGCGAGGACGGGAGAGGCACAGAGCCCAGGAGAGGTGTACTGGCACAGATGGTGACCAGAGGGAGGATTTTAAGATCTGGCAAGGGTGGAGGGGACTGTGACTGTAAAGATTTGGTGTGACAAGGAGAAACAGGAGGTAAGAGAAGACAGACACAATGAAACTTTGGAGCTTTGTCACACTAAGATTACTGTAATTGTATTTTTGTGCATAGAAGAAAGGCTGTGGAGTAACCTTGCTCTTTCTTGAAATGGTAACCATAGACTAATACAGGCAAATGCAAAAAACCAGACATACACTCTCACACAAACAGACAATTGCACAAAATTAGAAAAATTGCCTGGCTTTCTTCTGAGATATTCAGGCATTGATAAAGCAAGCTCTGACTCAAGCACTGTTAACTGAAACCGGGTGTGTGACAGTCAACCAATGGCATCTGCTCGCCAGCATGTTCATTTTCACTTCTTTCCTTGAGACAATTTAAGTTTTGTATGTGCTGTTATCAAAAACTAGAGCTAGATTTTTTTAAGTGTCATTTTTGTGCAATATGTTGAACCATTTTGTTCAATTTGGAGTGAAAAAATAGACTTATGGACTGGTTTGTGTTGTTTACAGCAAGCTCAAGTTTCATATTTAGACATTATATGAATGGTGAAATAAAGCTGTAAATATTCATTACCTAATGAAATCAATTTTTTTTTAAAAGCACATCTTTTTACACAAAGCATTTGTAAATCCCCATTAGTAGCATTTACGTTCCCATACCAAAATCCCTCCTTTGCAGCCAACCAAGTATCTTAGGCTTAGATCTTCCTCCTACGTGTAATGGAATCGCAATGCTGTCACAGACATCACAACCATTTCTGTAAAATATGATGTTAAGGAAGACTGAGTTCATTGTACTATACATATGTAAATGCCTCCCTTTCAATAGTCTCAGGGGAAAGAAGATGCCAGAAAGAATTCCCAACCAGTGTACATATTAATTGTCCCCACCTTTCACAGGATAGTAAAGTGCATTCATACAAAGAAAAGCGTTAGGAATCAAGAAGGCTGCATAGGGAAAGTGAGGGCATTTGAGCGAGACTTAAGGAAGTCACGTGGTAAATTATAATAATCTAACTGCAATCTGGAAAATCACTCAAAAAAGTATCAGTAATGAGGTAACGATGCAGCTCCTCAGCCTACAGACAGCCACTACAGATTTTCAGCAGGCTAGAGGAGATTGGGCTGCGGCACAAGTTCTTTGTTACGGATATACCCCTACGAGTGATAACTGAGTGCAGAATAGCTCTTGGTATAATTCGAAGCAGTGAACATGTTCTTCCTCTGTAGCTCAAACTCCTTTCAGTTTCAGAAGCGTAGGAGACTGGCTATCACAGAGCACAATTAATTGACTGCTGATCCTGTATGTTTACGTATTTGTGTGTGTGAAGACATTCTGAGTTTTTCACATCTGGTTCTGGATAAGAAATTCACAGTGTGACTGAATGACTAGACTGAAAGTTTTGCAAATAAATTATCTGAACAGAAACAGAGGTCACATGGATGCTTCTGTACAAAGAAAGTCCCCTGTGTCTCACTGTGTGCCTGAAGTTGATGACCTGTCTTTGATTAGCATCCACACAGATTTTGAATAGCTTTGTGCAAGTAATTTAATTTCCTGAATCAAAGCAGGTAATTCTCCAAATTCCCAGCTACACGCTATAACAAAGGTATGCAAAGGAGTATATAATGACTCCTACATAGCGTGATTTGAAGGAGACTGCTGTTCCCAGTTCTACCACCTTTCACTTAGGGACTCGACTTGAGTTCTGTCTGCTGCCAAGGCATGGTTATTCACAAGAAATGAAATGCTGTTTGCTCGAATAATTTCCTGCTGTGCAATCTTTGGTAATTCTGTGCTGTTTCTCTCCTCTGTTGAGGCTGCTAAATGAGTTGGTATTACCTTAATGAAAGCATTGAAAGTGTGGTTAATGCTGCTAGACTCCATATTTAAAAACATTTTTTGAAATCAAAATGAGTATCAGTAAAATATTCTCCTGTGGTTCATGGCTCCAATAACTGGTACAATGACTTAATTGGCATTCTTGTGCAGTGCTTGGATCTTTGCCAGTTAATGACCCATTGCGGCAGTCTGCACAGGCAAATTACCCCTTCTGTCCGGCTCTTCAAGCTGATGGACTTTTGCCCAAGTAATGGCTGCAGGCTCCTATTTTCAGCTGGCACGGACCCCAGCACGACCATAAACATTCCTGAGAGGATCATAATATGATATATTGGACAGATTCTGATACGCCTCACAGTAATATATCGCCAAGCAATTCTGCTGAAGTCAGTGACTTCGTCAGTGGTGTAGCCGAAAGAAGAACCTGGTCCCTGCACTGTTGCTTTCTGAAGTAATGAAGCACTTGCAGGCTACTAGCTAGTCTACATGCTTTAGATGATGCAAATTTTTGTGAACTCTTTGTCAAACATTCGGAATAGTTTTTACTTTTGTTCTGTTTTTAAATGTTTGTATTGTCTCTTCTGCCTACAGGATTTTCGATTCTTCAGGCAATCATGGAAGCAGCAGTACAGAACAACTGGCAAGTGACAGCCAGATCTGTAGGAAGCATAAAAGATGTTCAAGAGTTCAGAAGAATCATTGAGGAGATGGACAGGCGGCAAGAAAAAAGATACTTAATTGATTGTGAAGTAGACAGAATCAACACCATTTTGGAACAGGTATCTGCTTTTCAGACATTGTGATCTCTCCATGACAGACATGGTTAATGTTTCCAGAATTACCTATTCCTAAAAAATAATTAAATATCCATTGAGATGTGAGTTCCAACAACTGGCTGGTTACCTAGTAAAACTGAAGTTCCTCAGTGATACTCATAGTAGATGGCAGCACTTACATGTAGCCTATCAGGACAGGAAATGTCTCTCTGATATTTTTTCCCAAATGTTAATAATGAATTATTTTTAACTAGGTTAAGAACGTAAAACCTCATCTGCCAGAGTAACATTACTGGCATCAGGGCTACTTGTAGGGATTGCAAGACAGGTGCAGTTTCTTAAGTGGAACAACATATAAAAAGCCAGTGAAGTTGTTTCGAATCATCTTAAAGAATTCTCAAATGGAAATATTGCTAATGAAAAATTCAGCAGGTAGTCCAAATGACCATTAACACTTTTTGGTAGATAAAGTCCTTCTCTCTGCACAGCCCGTGCTGTTGACAGGCTTAAATTGTGGGCAAGAGTCTAAACACTTTTATTGGGGAAGATGTGCTTTTGGGTGACTGATTTGCTCTTGCGTGGCCTTCCCAGTGTTTGCTTTGCCCCAGGGTGCCACTGGCTGTGCTGTGCAGTGGGCTTGAAGAGGTGTAGCAACAAACACACACTGCAGGGAGAAGAAGCCAGACAGTTCCCTGCTGCCTGGGCTCATGGCAGAGCTGGTGTCAGTACAGAATGAAATCCATGCTGCTTGTCTATTCGTAGGCATGTGGGAAGTGACTTACGTTAAGACTGAAAAACCCTCTGTTTATTGCCACTTCATAAATTTAACTATGATTGTGTAGTATGGAATAGATCAAAAGTAATATTTAAATTTCATGACGTATTAGCATATCTCTTACAAGTGTTGTAATGTAAACTAGTAGCAAACTGACCTCACTACTGTAAGCCCTGGGAAATGCAAAAGCTGTATTCACTGTGTTCCTTCTCAAAATCATAGAATCATAGAATGATTTGAGTTGGAAGGGGCCTCAAAGATCATCTAGTTCCAATCCTCCTACCATGGCAGGGACATCTCCCACTAGATGAGGTTGCTCAAGGCTCCATCCAGGCTGGCCTTGAACACTCCCAGGGATGGAGCATCCACAAGCTCCCTGGGCAACCTGTTCCAGTGCTTCACCACCCTCAGGGTAAAGAACTTCTTCCTTATATTTAGTCTAAAACTATGCTTTTCCAGCTTCCACCCATTACCACTCATCCTATTACTACAGGTCCTTGTAAAACGTCCCTCCCCAGCCCTCTTGCAGGCCCCTTTCAGGTACTGGAAGGCCGCTATAAGGTCTCCCCGGAGCCTTCGTGCTGAACAAGCCTAACTCTCTCAGCCTGTCCTCCTAGGAGAGGTGTTCCAGCCCTCTGACCATCTTGATAGCCCTCCTCTGGACTTGCCCCAACAGCTCCATGTCTTTTTTGTGTTGGGGGCTCCAGAGGTGGACGGAGCATTCCAGATGAGGTCCCACAAGGGCAGAGTAGAGGGGCAGAATCACCTCCCTCAACCTGCTGGTCACACATCTCTTGTCGCATCCCAGGATAGGGTTGGCTTATATACCCTTGCTGAGGGTGCACCTGATGCCACTGTCCGTGTCAGCGATAAAGATGTTAAGTGAAATACTCGGTTCCTATCAAGCCTTGAGGTGCATTGCTGAAGGCCAGCCTGCAGGACTGAAACCTTGTGGTCATGGACAGGTCTCTTAGCTGCTGGTTACGGAGAGCAACGGGAAGGAAGGAAATTCTCAAGAGAACATAGCACAAGCCAGTACTGGAGTATAACTCTTGACAGCTGGTATGGTTGTGATAGCATTGCATTTTACACTGTATTTTTAATCAATATGGTTAGTGCTCTCTTTAGGGAAATTCGTACAGCAAAGTGCATCAAAGTGTAAGAAACTTCTTCCCTCTTACCTTTTTTTTTTTCTTTTATTTGCACATGTTCTTGCAGAAGATGCAAAACACCATACCCACAGCCCACTCTTCTGAAAATGATGTGAGAGAGCACTCCTGAGCCAAGCTTAAGTAGCTCTTTAGGCCCACTCTCAGCTGGGAAGCAGTTAGAACATTTTTCTAACTCAATTTACATACTGTTCTTTCTTTTTCTTAAACTGTACGAGTGAGAGGAAAAAAATTACCAAACCATTCCACTCCCTGGAATGAAAGTTATATACCAAGCAAACCATATAGCAAAAAACTGGCAACACTTTTCTTCTGTAAGCATTCTAAATTCAAACCTAGTGAAGTTGTATTTTTGTTAAAAGTTTGATTCACCTTTCTACCAATGTTATTAGCATCTGTGTAACTAAAGATTTGCAGCTGAGACGTCCAGGTTTCCCCAAACTCCACAGTACACTGTATAGTGCTCACATAATTAGAGCCTTTCTTCTGTCTCTGTTTTATTGTGTATAGTCCATCTCTGTACTATTAAATGACACTTTTTCTGTATTATGCCCCAAGATCATCTTTTGAACTTTATTTACAACAAATTATGACATTTCTGTGAAAACTTTATCCTAAATTATCGCAAATATTTCTAAAAGATCTCAAAATTTTCTTGCAGTTGGATTTTAGGACTGTATCAACCAATTTTAGCCAATCAGTTGAACACTAACAGTCCATTGTTTTATTTTTTTGAAATCAAAACCTGCAGACATTTTCACACATAAGCACTACGTCATATTTGTCTCCCTGTTGATGTAATATGACTATTTCTACTTAACTTCATTGAATACACTCAGAAGCAAAATGGTTTGTATTTGCAGTATCTAAATTGAATTTAGAACTTTTTGTTTAGCCAACTAAGCTAGATAGTAAAGCAAACTAAACGTACCTTCTGAGATAAATATTCTATTACTAATCATGTCTTTTTAGCAGCCTAACAAGAGGAGTCTGGTGATGCAGCATTTTTTTATGAGTATTATTTATTTTACTGGGACCATTCACATGACAAAGAATTGCCCGAGCAGATCTCAGAGGGTTGCCTCTGGTGTTAAAAATACCTTTCGGCAACAATTTCTGAGATTTATTTTTTTTTAATCTGATACTGAAAAGCAATTACTTAAGTTTCGGCAAGGAAAGCCAGTAATGGTGGGCCCCAGGTTAAGAGCTGAACAATTACTGGTTTTAGGCTTTTCATTCCATGTCCTCTGCTTACCTCATTATCTCCTCATAAAGTAGGTAAAAAATCTCAAAAATATGTGTGGTACTTAAATCCAGCTGGCCAGTTTGCTCAAGGGAGAGGTGAGTTGTCTTCTTTTCAGTCAACTTTGTTTGCTGATAGCATACCATTGAGGGGAAAGATAACTCCTAATTTGCTTATTTCAAATACAGCATTGTATTGCAGTTTAGAAAGTTAAATCAGTGCTTCATGTGGTGTCTGGAAAGTCTGCTCAGCTGAGAGGCAATAACATCTGAGCACATTAACAGCATGCTGACTGCACAAGTGCAGGTGGCTTTGAAGAGCCTTTTCCCAGAGAGAGCAAAGAGAATCCAAGACTCTTTGTCTGTTATGGTATAGTACTGACGGACAAACTGATGTCCCACAGAGGTTGACATAGGCTGCCTCAGCCCAACCAGCTGCCTTTCCTTCCCTCTCCCTTTTTTGGCCTCCTTCGGAACACATCTTCAAAGGTCAGCCCTCCCATCCTTCTGGAAGTGATGCCTTCCTCCAAAGAGGGCATTTACTGCGGTCACTGTGGATATGGGGCACCACCACTTCATTTTCTCAGGGACAGTGATTCCGCAGTGACTGTGGATTGCAGAAGCTTAAATAGCACTTATTCAAGATCAAAAGTAATGGCAGAAAAAAACAGACTGTAAACCACTAAACAGTCTACACACGTGCCGAGTTCTCTATCAGACTTTTGAGCTCTTGGCCAGGCCATTCAGCAAGCTTGTCAGTTCTCTGCTCCAGAAACTATATATCATGACTTGGTGTTAGTTCATAGATTAAATAAGAATGCCCTCCTGTATCAGGCTGGTCCGTTTATGCAATTCTCTTCCTTTGATACTTTTTTCAACTAGTTCAAACCAGGGTATTCTTCTCTTCCAAAAGTGTAGACTTCTCTAAAGACAGTTATGCATCTGAGGATTTTCTTCAGAGTCTTCAGGTCCTGCTGGAATATTCTGTACCTTTCTCCAGTGACACACAGACACGTGATCTTGAGTATTCCATATGCCGTTAGTATCTGGCACATCTGTATGTCCCTGTATTTCCAGCATCTGAAACCTGTCATGTGAGGTATTTCTCTGCTTGGGGCTGGCTGGTACCCAGGAAAGGATCTCTCCCAGCTGTCCTCCCTTGGTTTGTAAATACCAGGTAGTGGAAAGAAGACACTTCAGCTCCTACTCTGCCTAGGTAACATGTTTTGTGCCAGGTTTCACTCTGCAGCACACCTGATTTCATTCCCTTTCCAGAGAATCTTGTGATGGGCCACATATTGTGTCCTAGAGGTGGATACCCTGCCCACATCACCTCTGGCCCTGTCTCTTCAGCCACAGAATAAAGGGAAGCAGAGAGATTAATAATTAGTCAGGCTGTTTGTTCACTTGCCCTATAGTTCTATAACCACCTTACACAACAAAACTATATCCAATTTAATCATCTAGTGGCCTCTCAAGCACGCAGATAGCAACACTTATGTCATGAAAAATTCATAAGCTCCCCACACTTCTTGTCCCTTGATGCTAAAATATTCCAGTATTCCCTCACAGACAGATATACAATTTCATTCTCATAAACAGGAGAACATTTTCTTCCGAGAACTAAAAGTAAGCTTTAGCCTGTTCAACCATGTATTTAGAGACATGTTTTTGAGTTAAGAAATATGTTTTTCTCATTCCCAAGATAACAAGTTGTATTTCAGACTGGAGTGGCTTTATGTCCATTTAGAAGAAAATCTCCTGAGGGAAAATAAGGAGAAAGAAACTCCGTTCAGAATCAAAATGGTGAAACTTTA